TTGCGCGGCCCTGAAATCTGGGAAGCGGGGCATCTGAGAGAGGCCGATGTTGATATGAGACGGGTAATTCATTGCTGAACGACTCTTGCCGGCTAAGTCTGTTGCTCGCAGCTCGTTTCACCGTTTATTAGTTGCTGTTTTGTTCATTGTTGCTTCTTGTAGATTTCGTTAGGACCGAGTGCGGCAACCGCCGTCGACGAGGCCTGCTCACGCCAAAAAATGCAGATCCCTTGTTTCTCAGGAGAAACACACGCGGGTCCCCGTTCCTCTGTGTGGGTTGTAATGTTTTTAAGAGAAGATGTGTGACGCCCAGTTTTAAGCTTCTACTAGTGCATGACGCATGTTGTTGGTCTCTTCGATCACCTGGGTTCCTTTGCTGGCCGTCAGGTGCACCGCTTCGGTCTTGGTTTGGGTTCTTCTGTCGCTGCTTGGTCGCAGCTGTTGGACTTGCATTGGTTGTTGTGGTTAGTTCGTGAGAACGCCGCCTTACACCTTCCATTGGTCTCCAATGTGCTGGGGTGGTTGTGCGAGACTCCTTGTCACTTCCGTGTTCGCTTGGTCCTTGATTGGCTTCTAGTGTGCACAGCCACGTAGTAACGATGGGAAGGGCACCACCCCTATCGGACAGTATCCGCTTCTGTCACTACGTCAGGCTGCTGAGTGGTGTTGCCTCTTGTACAGCCCGAGGCAGGCATTCGGTCTCTCCGAAGTCCTTTTTACCTTTGAGTTTTGTTTAGTTAGTGTGTTTGCGCAGTTGTTTCGCTTATGGGCCGAGTGCTGCTGACGATCGACGAGGCCCGCCAACGCCAAAACAAATGCAGCAGATTGCCTGGGCCGCTTGCACTTCTGAGCAGTCGGTTGCGTGTTCCTCTCTCTTGTGTGGAAGGAGCTGATTCAAAACGAAAGAGTGTTGAGCATCAAGGGCGGCACGCCGCATCTGTAGGAGCCTCGACCTGGCTCTTGTTCGTGGTAGCATCGCTTAACAGATTGGCGCCCAATCCAATGTGCAGCCCAAACGCCAAATGGCCGCCATCTGAGTGCTTTGAGAATCACCAGTAGTGCTTTGTAATGTCTGGTAGGTTTGATTGGCAGGAGTACTTTAGCCACAACATGTTTTGGTTTGTTTTTTTGGGTTTGGTAGTGTTTCCAGCTTGTTCAGACAAACAGGGAACCGGCGATCGACCGATCGATCAAAAACAGACGGACTGCGAACAGCAACGATTTTCGCATTTCGCACTGGCGTGGCTTTGTCTGCACATGTTAACAACCTCTGCGCTGTCAAACATGGCCCGCAAGGGCCTAAAACAACTTCATATCCAAACCCGAATACTCGAGGGCGATGGGGTGAGCTGTTGGGAATACAACTGCTAGGTCTTGGACGAAGCAAACTCTGAAGCTCACTAGAATCATTTGCATCTTTAACATAACATAGGCACACTTTTGTGTATTGAAGCCTGATAAACACGTGTGTCCAAAATATCCTTGACACAATTCTGTCAAGCCTCATCGCAATAATGACATCACCGGCTGACGCTCCGATTGCTCTGCGCAACACGGCAATCCAACCATTTGATTGCTGATGAACTTTGTAAGACAGACGGAGGAGACTCAGCAATATACGTTCCTAGGTGAAGTTGTGTGCATTGCGAGAACAGACAACTACCAGCTGTGCCGTACATAACGATACTGTCATGTTTGCTTGTTCAGATGCCATTGCTCATGTCGTAGAGTTATCATGACGTTTTGGACCAAGTCGAGCATAGCGGTGGAAGACTCCTATTCGCAGGCTCTGCAGCAATGGCAGCTTCAACATGTGGCACGCCACTACAGCAACTGTTGAGCAGATCTGCATCACTGTTTCCCGAGAAGATAGCCATCAGATCAGAAAGCGGTGATATCACCTACGCCGACTTGTTCTCACTTGTGCGGCGAGTGGCCTCTGCTTTGAGGGGTTCGGGCATCGATAGAATGGATCGAGTTGGATGGCTGCTGCCAAATCGCCTTGAAGCGCTTGCTTGCACATGCGCTTGCTACTTCCTGGGCGCTGTATCTGTTCCGATCAATGTCAGATATTCGTCAGAAGAGGTTGCGTACATGGTGAACAAGGTCCAGGCCAAACTTTTGTTCGTGGAAGCCAGCAAGCTGGATGTCCTGCAATACCTCCCTGCCCAAATGCAAATTGTTGCAGTTGGTTTGAAAACAGCTGTTCACCACAGAAGGTGGGAAGAGTTTCTGCAGGCAGATGGGCCAGCGAGCTTGCAACCAGTCGACTCCCAGCATCCTGCATTGATTCTTTTCACCTCAGGTTCGACAGGCCGTCCCAAGGGTGTTTTGCATTCTCATGCCTCTTGTTGGGCTGCCATCAACACTTCGGCAGAGATGCTTCAGTTAGACGGTGATGAGGTCGTGCTGGTCGGCAAGGCAATCACCCATGCGGGCGGACTGCAAACACAGCTCCTTCCAACTTTGCTGGTGGGAGGCTCCGTGGTACTCGCGATGGTCCCTCCGCCGGCCAGGGCGGTAGAATTGATCCAGCGTTTCGATGTGACCGTCTATGCAATGCTCGCAAGCTCCTTACTGGACTTCGTCGGACATTTGGAGACAAATCGCCAGAAGCTCCCAAGCTTGAAGAAAGTCGTTGGCTCTGGTGACAGCGTGCCACTGCAGGTCCAAACCAGATTCCGCAATCTCTTTGGCTTTCCAGTGCTGGAAGGGTGTGGAATTACAGAAATTGGGGGATACTTCTCAATGCAGCCGATTGGGAAGGAAAGGCTTGGTTCGATTGGCCTCCCAACAAACGGAACGGAGGTTCGCTTCGTTGACGAGGAAAGCCATGATGTTCCAGTGGGTTCACCAGGAGAGGTCTTGCTCAAAACTCCTTCTGCAGCCATCGGATATTGGGATGACCCCGCTGCCTCCTCTTCGCTCTTTGAGGAAGGCTGGCTTCGGACAGGAGACATAGCCCGAGAGGACGAGGACGGCTACATATGGTTTGTCGGGCGCCGCAAGCTCATCATTGTTCGTCGAGGCTCCAACATAGCGCCGGCCGCAGTTGAGAGAGTCTTGGCTACGCACCCGGAGGTGCACTCGTCGGTGGTGGTTGGAGTCCCCGACGAGTTAGATGGTCAAGTGCCTGTTGCGTGGTTGGTGCCGAAGATAGCATCCTGCCCTCCCACGGTGACCTCTTTGAAAGAGCACATGTCCGAACGCTTAGCTGCTTTCGAAGTACCTGTGAGCTATTGGCTCCTCAACGAAATGCCGCTGAACAGTGTTGGAAAGTTTGATCGCGCGAAGTTGCAGCAAACAGCCAAAGAGAAACATGAGATTTTGCTACAGGCGAACAGGGCCGGTGCATGAGGACAACTTTTAGAGCAACTTCTTAGCGGAACATCGACTGCTGTGCTTGTAAAGCGACTGTTGCACGGCGATGCTCCTTAGCCTGATCTGTACAGTAAAGAAGTCGGCCAAAGTTGCTACACTCAGGCCTGCTGTCAGCCTCATCCTGGACCTGATTGGTCACATGTTCCTGTTGCAGGTTCCGCAGCCGAAAAGCTGTGGGGTCAGGTGCTTACCACGGTGGACGGTTCTGTTTCTAAGAGCGATGCTCGTCTCCTTGTTTCTTGCGGCCTGCAGTTGGTGGGTACCATTGCCGAGGAGCCTTGACGGCAACAACGTGGAGTGTCGGTACGGGAATAGAGACTAGAGCTCTCCCTTCGCGAAGTAGTAACCAGCCTGATGTTCATGACGATGGTGATTCTGCTGGCAGTGCTGATGTTCGCGACGAACGAAAGGAAGGGTTCGACGGTAGGAGATGAGAACGAGCACTTTGATATGGCGATAGTGTTGATGATGTTAATGGTGTTGGTGTTGTCAAAGTGTACAATGTAGATGCTCCGTCCGCCATTGGTTCGAGTGACAGCATGTGTGCACAGGGGCTACTGAGGACATGCCGGTACAAGCATGCAGGTGGTGACTTTCGACCCTCGATTCATAGCATTCTCCATGTCGCTCCGGCACTGCCGTTTTACTCGGTGATTGCCGATGCACACAGGAGTTCCGGGTTACGAACAGTGGTTTGTAGCGTTCAAACATGTTTCTTTTCATTAGACTGTTGGTGAGAGCGAGTGAGGACATGTGTGATGGAAGTTACCTAATTCTCGCAGTGCATTTGCAGACAGAAGTTTCTGTGCTGGAGAGTTGTTTCTGCCTTGCAAGCCATGGCCGTTTCCAAACCACTCCTGCGTTTTGCAGGCGACACCCTTGAACTTGGGAAGGAAGGTTTGACACAGCTTGAGAAAGCCCGCCCACCGGTGAGAATCGTGGTAGTCTCCGCTGTGGGAAGAGCAAACCCAAACCTAAACCCTAGGCCCTAGACACTACACCCTCAACCCTATGCCCTAAACCCTAAACCCTACGCCCTAAACCCTAAACCCTAAACGGCCCTAAACCCTAAACCGGGGACCCCTTAGGCTTTCCACGCCTCCGACTCTCTGGAGCCCGCCACGCAGGGCATGTGTGGTTGAGCTGATCAGTGTCCACACCGGCATGTGCCGCCGCGTGATTGCTATATTCAGGGCTTTGCAATGCCCACTGCTAAAAAAGACCAAATTGTCCGTCCTGTCATCCCATGATTGATTTGTTGTTTTTTTTTCATAGGGGGCCTTGATGGAGAACCTACAAACTTTCCGAAGACGAAGTCCAAAGCTGTTGGAGTGTTTTCGACTCCAAATCAACACCGTGTGAAGGTCCAATGCTGTCTTGCTTATGTTCAAGTTGGGCTTGGATTTGGAGCTGAGGTGTGTCCTATGTTACACACCCATCACGAATGTGCATTCTCTTGCCGGTGTGCCGCATCGATTTTCGTGTTTTGATGTCGTTTTTGGCCAGCAGTTGTTACAGTTGATCAGGCGTGGAACCACCTTTGCCAGTTTTTACTTAGCGCGGGTGTCCAAGCAGGGAACGTACGTCCTCTGACAAGCATAACGAGGAGCATCAAAGAGTCCTGTAAAAGTCATTGTCGAGACTCGCTCCGATTTGTACATGTTTGTGTATATGTACTGACACCACTTTTCCGTGCCTTCTTGTATTGCAGTCATTATGAACACAGTCTTATTTTGTTTATCCGTTCATTGCCCAAGCGGAAAAGAAGCTTGTGACCAGCAGTCTCGCTCGTGGGCATGATTTGAGGATTCCAGAAGAAGATTCAGCTTTCAATGTTGGTTTTGAGTCAAACGGCTCTCGCATCGAATTTGTGCTTGGCAGAGTCAAGGTGACATTCCCGTGACGATCCTTTGGCTCAAGTCAGGAACTGAACGTCCATATGGCATGGTTGCGGCATACCTGACCACTGCGCCGCGCGTGGCGAAAGCCCTCGCCAGTGCCAAACTTCATATACAAGCGTCTTGGGCTTGGGTTTCTGCAGTCCGTCGTTTCGTTGCACCGTTTCGTCTGTTTTCAAACGTGGCTGCTGAGGCATGCTTGCACTTATTGTGTCGAGTCTGATTCTGTCTGCTTATGCAGATGGACAAGGAGCGACAGGGCTGCGTTTGGCACGGTGCAACTGGTTGATGCACCAAATCCCAACCTTACAGATCCATGCCGTACATCTTGCTGTAGCATTCTAAGGATGTGGACTTGCCCATCGATGCACCGGTTGAGTCAGTTTGTCTCTTGCAGGTGTTGCCTAATGAGCTTATCTGTCATTCAATGTCTGTGCCATCGCAAAATGATGGAAGTGTTTCCTGCTGTTTGCAGGAGCATCTGGTATTGCAGAAGCACCGGAGCCCCAATTTTGACAATCTGGGGGCCCCAAATTGACAATCGGCGGGGCCCAAAAAAGACAATCGCGAGGCCCCAAATGGACAATCTAGGGGCCGAAAATTGACAATCCAGCCCCCCTG